CAGTTTTAAGCCTCCTACACAGCTGTTTCTGTTTCAGTTAATGACTGTGTTTCAACCTACAGATGAAATTGATGATCATCAGCACCTGCTTGGTATAATTGGTTAATCATACACCTGACTCCCTGGCTTTGTGCAAGTGTACAAAGTGTGCAAGTGTAAGCATTGATGCTGGTTTGAAGCCAAAGGGTAGTCACACCATATATTGATTTGATTTGGGTTTTTCTTCTGTTCTCTCACTTTGCATTTTGTAAACTGATAAACATAAACAATTACAGTATATATATTTTTGAAAGCATTCTTACTTTACAGCATTTTTTCACACCTTCCTAAAGCTTTTGCACAGTCCTGTATGTCAGTCGTTTTTCAGGTAGGAAGACCTTTGCGCAATGGCAGACACAACGTCCATCTTCCCTTTTGCCTCTTACCTCACCAGGGTTTTCTTTTCCTGTCCCCGTCCCAGGATCTTGCATTAGCCAACTCTTGACTAAGAACGTAAAATTGTTAGAGACTCCGCCACTGAATTCCCCTGGCAAACTACTGTTAGTCTCCCTATTTCTCAGTAAAAAACTGAGGGAAGGGCTTGAACAGCCCCCACATCGAATATTCAGACTTCTGGATCTAGAAGTGTTCGAAGTAAACCAGAACAAAGCGAGCAAGTTTTCAGCCCTCCTGGTTGCATAGTATAAGAATCTGGGAGGGATTCCCAGTCGTAAAGAGCACCAAAGGAAAAAGGGGTAGGTTTAGCGAAGCAAGACTTGGAATAAATTAGAACATGTTGCTGCAAGTACAGAAGTCTCTAAGACAGGACAGTCAAAACAGACAAGGTGGTTTGAAATTGCTCTTAATTAATGTGATTTTCCTTTGGGCAGTTTGCTCCCATGACCTTTGGATCTCTGGAGCATGAAGGTCAAAGTGATTTCAATTTTGGAGGATAATTACATGTACCTGATCATCGATGAAAACACTCGGCACGCCATTGCAGTGGATGCTGCTGTTTCCAAGCGGGTAAATGGGGTCAAAATAGACTTGGGAGGAATGATAGAATTGGGGCAGGTGGTATAGATCGGTTTGCAAGCGACTGGATGAATTCATTCCTTTGGAGCTGCTTACAAGACCCTGAGGGCATCTGCAAGGGGAGTCAAAAAGGTTGGCAGCCAGAATTGCACAATCAAAGCTCTGTGTCTTTTGCATATGATGCTTCTTCGCTTTTTTATATATCCCCCCCTCCATGCATGTTCCACACTCAGTTCCTCACCTTTCTTTGACTGTGCTGGTTGAAGAAGGATTAGCTCTCGAGTTTGATCCAAAATTATTCAAGATTGGAATATGCAGAAGGACATTAGGGTAGGTTAAGGTGAGGTGGTATAATTCATGGACTTGAACCTTGGTCTCCCCACTCCTAGTCCAGCACTTTCACCACTATCCCCCACTACCTGGTTGTCCTGGAGAGAAGCTGCAGGAGACCCTAACCAAAGGTGCACCAAGTTGAGGGACTTCCGGGGGAGAAATGGCAGACTGAAGGCGGCTCCGCTAAAAGTGGAGCTGATGACCACGGCGGAATGAAGAGCCGGCGAGTAGACTGGCTCTTTGTAAGTCCTCTCTGGACAAGGAGAGGACTTGAGATTGCCCACAAATGCTCCATGCAGTTGCTCCTCGCAAGGAGACCACAAGACAATGGTCTTCGGTGGGTTTATTGCTCTGGGAGATGAGTGAATAGCTATCATTTGCTCAAACTGTGGACCCTGGGTTCGCATACTTCCTCTTCTAATCACTTTTGAAAATGGCTTGTAAGCGGCTTTTCAGCTCTTAGGAACCTTTGGATCAACAAGTTTTACAGCACTGGGTGAATTTCCTTCAATCCTTAGGGAAAGGAGCTTTAAATACAAGTTTAAGGATTTAACAAAATTCTTTTGGAATAAACAAATGTGCATCATGTTCTCTGTGGGTTTTTCCCCCCTAGCTCCTAGAGATCATCCGAAGAGAAGACATCACTCTGAAAGCCATTCTGACCACCCATCATCACTGGTAAGTAGGCTTGGCATGGCTCTTCCAGTGATTCTTTGGGACCAGAGAACAACCTCCCTCCCTCTTCAAGTTCAAGATGGGTTGAATTTGTGGGGCACAAACAAAACATGTGAAGCTTCTCTCGCTGCAGCCTCTGTTCAAGCCCAAGGGAAGATCTCCTTCCAGAAGATTTTTTCAGTAGTTAAGAGGTAGCCCAGCTCTGGAGAACTTCTCCACCTGTTCTTTGGTGGTTGGAGAATTTTGAAAAGCTGCAAGAGGTCTGCTTTCCTCTTGATAGCCTCCTCTCTCTCCTCCTCCTCCTCTCTCTCAAGGGATCATGCAAGAGACAATGAAGAACTGGCCAAGCTTTATCCCGGCCTGGAGGTATATGGTGGGGACGAACGGGTGGGAGCTCTGACACACCGAGTGACTCATGAGGAGGAATTAAAGGTAAGAAGCAGGGAATGGATCACATCCTTCTTCAGTTTTATTGTATTGCAGAATGGCTTAGTTGCAGAGATGTCTAGTACTATCCACAATGATGTCATTTGCACTGTGACATCATCGCATACATGACACAAATTGATTTGCATAATTTGTCTCTCCCCCCTGCTCAGCAGACGCCCAGATTATGCAATTCACACTTTTTGCACAATGAGATCAAGATCTCCATGACATCACTTTCCTTCATGGGTACCTCTTCTCTGCACACACCTGAAGGATCTTACTGGATATATTTTAAATGGTTACTTTCCTGAATTCACCAATTTCAAGAACCTGTGCTTACCTGTGAGCTAGTCCAGAAACAGTTTTTAAATGCCATCAGATAAACGAGAGCACCTGAGCACAAGCTGAGAAACTGCATTGACCATTGAAGCCTTCTTTTGATGTCAGAAACTCAGCTGTGACTTTGGAGGACAAGCTAAGGCAGCTTAGCTAGGACAGCTAAGATAAGCTCAGGAGACAAAGAGCAGGAAACAGCCCCCCTTCGTGCTCACCTACCTGTTTCAGTCAGCCTTGGGAACTGGAGGCGTGGTCCAGTTCAGCTGGCTGTTGCACGTTTTATTAAGAGAGGTAGACAGGCCTGATGTGGGCAGAGAGTAATCCGATTACTGGGATCTCTGTATGCAAATGAGAAGGTGAAGTGGAATTATTTATTTTACAGGTTTTATAGCCCACCCAGTTGAAATGACTGGGCAGCTTAACAATTAAATTATAAATGCAATAGTAAAATCTATCAGAATTATAAAACAACATAATAAATTAAGAATAATACATCAACCCTCCTTCACGGATGCCAATAAAACTTAGCTAGGCCCAGTGAAATAAATACCTAAAAACCGGGAAGGAGAAAGAGAGCTTTATGGGCCTCTGGCAATAAGGAATTCCAAAGTGTGGGGGCCACCACAAAGGAGGTCTGTGGTCTCATCCTTCAGAGAGAGAGGACTCTTCACAGACTCTCCCAAGATGTTCTCACCAGATGGAAATATTCAGTAATGGGAAGGCAATGCCTGATGTAACTCCAGAAGCCTATTTGTAACCAGTGTGGTGATTTTAGGAGAGGTCATAACACTGCAGTGACAGGATGGGCCCACCAGTCATCTCACTGCTGCATTCCGGACCAGTTGCAGCTTCCACTTTGTCTCCAAAGGCTGTCCCATCGTCATGAACCAGATAACCAATAATAAGCAATGATGTCCAAGTCTTCTCACCAGAACTGAAGCTATTCCACCATAAATAGTGGAATAAAACAGACCCCAAGCAATTCACCCAGGGCCCTTTATCAGTGTAGCTTCAAAGCTTCCTCTCCAAAGCTTTGCAGAGCAGAGGTGCAGATAAGCATCTGCCTCTATAGGTGGCCCAGCCCATCTTCATTGGGCTGCTGGAATTCGGCACAAAGTGTCATATACACAGGCTTCTTTTGTGTAGGTAGAGGTAGCTAGGTCTCGTGCTTTGGAGAGTTAAGGTTGCCAGATTTGGGCTGAAATAATGCAGATGACCACCAGAGGGCAACAAAGAGATATAGATAGCCCTCTAGAGGTCATTTCAGGTGTTGCGCCCCAGACCTAGTAGCTCAAGCCTTGACCTTGCCCCTTTTTTTAAGGGCAAACCCCAGAGACTGCTAAAAGGCAATGTGTGTCCCTTGGTCCCGAAAGATGGTCACTGTCAATTTAAATAAACAACTCCAGTTCAGTGCAACAATATTATTATTTTGCAATTGTTGTTTTCATCGCAGTTAAGATGATAATTTAAATTTGTATGATTTCCCCCACACAAATATTTTCCGTGAGGTTTATACAGGAATGAGTCAAATAAGGCACAGTGTTAACAGAACAACATACAGAAATTAAAAAGAGAAGCCTGAAGCTTTTCTTCTGGCAGAGACAGGATCATGCTGTTGACACAATATGCTTAACTGGGTTAGTTAAAGATCTAGTAGCTATATAAGCATAACATGCTAACCTTGGGTTTAATCTTACCTTGTTTATTTCCTGGCTCAGCGACTGTTATCTGGCCTGCAAAACTCCAGATGACAGCAGAGCAATAAAGCTGTCTTTCCTGCCGTCTAATGCTCACTTGGTGTTTTGCGGTATTTATGACCTTACCTGTGTTGTACAAACCATCCCATTGATCAATTTTGTTCACAGTATTACGCAGAGCCCAGAAAATGGGTTAATTCAATAATTCAGCAAGAGCCAGTTGAGCTGTGTTAAAAACGTCACTTGGAAAGCTGTAACGCAATATATATTTAAAACTTAATTTTGTTTAAAAGGCCTGGATGAACAGAAAGCTCTTCATCTGGTGGCCAAAAGACTGTAAAGCAGAAGGCAGGTACTGTTTGAATTTAATTCCTTTCGGGTACTTCATCAGCCAGCTCACAGAGCATATTACGTTCAGGTTAAGAAAAGCATACAGTATTCACAAAGCATTTAGGGCTGTGCACATTTCAGAGCATACGGGGATCACAAACGCAGCATCCAGATCATGAAAACAGCATCATCATTCATTCATTCATTCATTCATTCATTCATTGGATTTCTCCCCCCGCCCCATCTCCCCCACAACAGGGGACTCTGGGCGACTTACAGAAAACATTGAAACTATAAATATATCTAAAACACATAATACATCCAAAATTTAAAACAATACTAAAAAAAAGAAGATCCAAGAAGATGGAAAATCAGGCTGCGGA